GGTTTGTAGTATGTAAAAATGTTCGAATCATATACGCAATGCGGTTAACGGCACCACAAACACTCCTAAATTTGATTAATGATGTAATGTAAAGAGATAAAAGAATTAATTTGTAAGTAATTATTTGTTAATTGAAATTCAATTTTCAAAAAAGGCCCAAAACCAAATCAATAATTTCGGAATTCAAAATCTCTGCCACAAAACACAAATAGTTTACATTGATTATATAAACTCAAATCCAAATTCGAATCCAAATCTTATCTCTATCTCCCAAGAATCAAAAAGCCTAACCTTACCCTTTTTGCACTAAAAACCCTAGAAAAGTCCCATGGACCCAGCCCCAGACAAAATCTTCAACCACAGATTTGATCAAGCCCCACCGCCACCTCCGCCGTCTTCCTCCGTGGACAACCATCATCAACTCGTTCCTTCCAATAGTCCACTTTCAATTGAAAACCCCACAAACAAACAGTCAAAGAGGAAGAAAGACCGCCACGCCAAGGTCAACGGGAGAGGCCGGAGAGTCAGGGTCCCGGCGCTGTGTGCGGCTCGCATATTCCAGCTCACCCGAGAGCTGGGTCACCGTACCGACGGCCAGACCATCGAATGGCTACTTCACCACGTCGATCCATCTCTGTTTCCCTCATCGTTCGCCGGAGGAGGAGGTGCTGCTCAGACGGTGGTTCCGGAGAACCCACAAGGGGTGTCGGAACTCGACCTTTTTCCTAACATGTCGTTCACGTCATTGTTGATGCAAGTGGAAGAAGATGAGTTGAAGACAAAGAATGAGATAAATGAGGATTCTTGGAAGATTTAGAGGGGCTGTATGTATGCCTGTATCTATATTTTTGAGGTGGGCCATAGAAAAATCTATGTTCCTTGTTGACATATTAAGTGAAAAGTTGACTTTTTAGGTCCTAATGGACCCATCAGGAAGTAATTTTCGTAGGGCCACCTATGGTGTGTGAATTCTACTATTAAGTTAGATATGGTATTTGGGTGATTGTTCATAAATTTTCCCTTTTTTTAGTACCCATCTTGGATTTGGCCGTGTTTTCTATTAAGTTCTTAATGGTTTAATTGGGAGGGGCAAGTTTGGTTGAAAAAACATGGCTTTCTGCATAAAACTTCTTTGTAGAAACTTACTGAATAAGCTAATTTTTTTTATCATCAAGTCAATACCAAAGAAGTATCGTATTGTCTATCCGACCGAATAAGCTGTGAGTCCGGTTAAGCTCATTAAGCCTGTCATGAATCTGTCTTTATACGTACAAACAAAAGAATTATGTTAAAGTGGAAGGCATACCTGCAAATCTTGCTGATCATTCCAAGCTAGCCAACCAATCTGATCTTCTTTGTGCAGACATTGCCATGAACATTTCTCTCCAATCCACATCTTTAAACATTTTAATTGCTTTTATGTAGGTAGTTGTATCCACATCTTGTATCGATTCCAAACACTTGACGCAGTTGGTGATAGAGAAAGAACTGGGTTCAGGACATCCTTCAAGATTCTGGGTCCTATCACTTATGGGGTCTGACCCTTGTTTGTTTGAAACTGTCATTCTAATGGTTTCCTTCAGAGATTCATCTATCTTTGCCTCTTTGTTCTTGTGAAGATGGAGGGTCGGGATTGGGGATGGGGACCGGCGCCTTTTTCCAACACTTTGACAATCTTTACCAGCGCTGCTACTACCGACTGGAAAAGCCTGGGGAGTTTCATTAGTTGATTCGTATTCTAGATCGACCTTCTCACCGCTATGAGAAGGATACCGTGTAAGTGGATATGCATCTTTGTACTCTGTAGCTGTATCGCAGAATATGATTACTAGTTCATTGTACATCGGGCACCCTTTCTTCCGGAATCTCCTTGCTTTCTTGTTCGTCTACATTTAAATCTAAACCACATTATCTAACTAGTTTACATTCTACTAAAAAAGGTTCATATGTTTGAGATAATGAAAACAAGTTTGAACTATCGAATTGATAAGAACCCTAAAATTGTTTTATACTTAATTCATAGCAGCTACTACATATTACATTCAAAAATCCATCCAGAATAGCTCATTCTTGAAAAAGTAAGTATTTTATTTGCATTTATGCAAGAACAATAGTTTGTAACAAAAAACAAGAACCAACTAAAATATAGTTCTAAATCTTTTTCCAACACAAAGTAGAGTAATATTTTCAGTTTTGAAGGTAAAAATCATTCATTTTTTACCATGATGAAAGGAGATTCTGAAGTCAAGAAGGTAAGTTTACCTTCAAATATGATTCCCATACATCATCAGCTGCAATTGCAGTTCCAAGCACAGGGTCCCAAGTAAAGCCAGGTTCCTTCAACAGCTTGGTAAACCATAAATAGTGAATCCTTAATTGGTTGTACTTATTCCTGAACTGAGCATGGTTGTACCTCCTGTTGGTTTTTTCATAGAACTCTCGTTCAATAAAAGACCAACTTGACCTTGAAAACGTGGTTGAGTGCCGATTTCCCCGTTTTACCTCTTTAGCCATGATATTAATAAAGGTATTCTCCTCTGATAAGGTCCAAGTAGCAGGGTCAGGCACGGTCTCTAACTCATCTCTATCACCATCGTTGAGTGCCATCTATCTACGCAAACAAAAATATCCCTATAGGAGAGATGTAACAATGCAATATATGTATTAATTCAGATGAACAAACAAAGATATCCTAAACCCACAATGTCGTTCATTAAATTAAACCAACTAAGGTGCCTTTTCTTTTTGTTCATGCAAAGGTACAAACCAACACTTATTTATCCTCAGAAGTTCAGGCATTCTGAATTTGAATTGGCAAATTGGAGATCTGAATTGAATTTGAAACCGTGACTAAATGAAAAGGCAGCGCACTGGACCAATCAAGTCAAACACTTAATGGTCAAACAGTGCTTAAGAAACCGTTAACCAGAGCTAGGTGCTCAAGAGACCTTTCTGCGCTTAATTGCTTATGTGGGGATTATGTAGATGTTAAGGGGATGCATAAATGGTTTATTTGAACACATACAATATATATATACTGTAATTGTTATTAGACCATCCATACATAACAGAACTAAAATTTCGATACTAAATCTGGTAGAATTACTTATGTAAATAACAATTTCCATCGTTCTATTGATAAAAGGATTAGAAAAGTTACCGTCTAGTTGAAAAAAGTATCCAGTGATGAGCATAAGTTGAGAAAAGCCAATTCACCCCGTTTCATTTCTTCAAATTATATTTATAATTTTGGCCAGAAATTAAAAGTTTGGTGGACAGGGATCACAGTGCTAACTAATCGAGGTAGTGAATGGACTATTAACGCCTAGGCGGCCATGGTCCTAAGTGAGGATTTTATAAAATTCCCCGATCAATGTGAAAGGTCCGAGATCATCCGCTCCCCCTTTCATCGATCGGGAAGGGAAATGAAGAATTCCAACAACCCTAGCAGTTATAACGATAATTGGAAAACGATATTGATACACAACAAATCCAAATTTAATGCTCGAATAATTCCAACAATGGCCGAATCTGTGAAAACAGATACCGACAAACAGGAACCAAAACACTGAAACATCCTAGGGTTTTCTCGCAATTCCGGTCAGGCGATCAAAACAATCAACAGATAGATAATACTAATCGAAGAGGTGAAAATTCCAATGAGTGATGAAAAAGAAAAGAAGGAAGTTGAGATTCAAAATTAGGTTTGGTTTACCTGGGATAGCAGGCGGAGGTGGCGGTCGACTGCCGTGCTGGGACGGCTATGCAACAAACTACTGAATGGAGCCGCTGGCCCGCTGCTACCTGCAACGTTGGGGTTTTGTATGTCTGGAGTGGAGCAGCCGATTTCATTTTTGTGTGAATATTTTGGACGTATGTACCAAGCATACCACTTTAATTATGTTCATTTCGATTGGTTTTTCGGTTATTTTTTTTCTGTTTTACTTAAATGTCATTGTCTTTATGAATGACACTATTGTAAATTAGTTAAAAGACAAAAAAATTACAATTTCTGCTAAGGTTCGCAAGTGACACCTTCGTAATTTATGCCCAAGTCACGGAGGTGCCACTTGCGAATTTAGACAGAAATTGTAATTTTTTATCTTCTAACTATTTTCGTGAATTATAGATGTGTCATTTGCAGATATAATGACATGTGGATAACATAGGGAAAGAATGACAATTACAGTGAGAGAAATACTCATTTCAGTCAATTTCCCTTTGGTTCTAGGTTTTTATAAGAACCATATAACAACTTATACCAAAATAATTTTTCTAGGGATTTTAGCATTTTTTTTATTTACTCCAACAACTATGTTAATATACATATTAAAATAGAGAAAATAAAAGTGAATATAAAATTTTTAAATTTGAATAATTATGTAAAACTGTATATAAGATAGATAAACAGTATTTTAATTCTAAGAATTATTAAAAATATATTTAAAATAGATAAATAATATTTTATTAAATGTATATAATAATTTAATGATATAATTACTAAATTGAGTACTGTTTGAAGTTGGATGTGTATTTTTTCCTTTTTGAAATATTGATTTTTAATACTTTATTTTATAAAAAATTATATTATGATTGTTGGAGATAAATGCTCACGTCTTTGAAGTTTTTGTGTAGAAATTTTAGTTCTTACCTTGAATTTTGTATAAAATAATATTCTGTTAGGTTTTTAAATATTTTTTTAGCTTTTATCTATACTATATTATAAAGCATTTGACAGAAACGTTTACAAACCGTTTATTATACATGAAGTATTGTTTATTGATGCATATCACTTAAAATTCATTATTACACGTAAATTGTGTCTTAATATAACTTATTAAAGTTTCATGTTTGAATTCATCTAACTAACTACAGATAAACATTATCAAATAAAGGATAAACATCTCATTTTAAATATAAAAAATCTAAAATATAATCAGGATAATCATTAAGTTTTAACGAAATATTTAATTATTATCTTTAATAAAAATTTATATTATTAAATCAAAAAAATAGAAAATGAATTAAAGTGATATAAAAAAACATTAATTATAATATAATATTTTTCAAAAATTTTATTATATCTTCATATTTATATTTATCAAAAATAAAAACATTATCGTTTTCTTAAAAATACATAAAACCGTATTACAACATCGATTGAGACAAAAATAAATAAAATAAAACATTAAAATCAAGATGTATCTCGCTACATTATACGAGTATCATTATAGTATTATAAAATATAACAATTATTCGTGTTAAAAATTAAATGGGACTTATAAAAAGAGTTTTTATAAAAATTGCGATTCTATTACAAAAAGGTTGTATTTAATAATATAATTACATAAAGGTTTTCACCTAATTATGTGTCGGCAAGTACCTAATTAATCATTAACAATAATTGAGATTGTGGTATTATTTTTAAGGTAAATTGTATTAAAACGTAACAATTTTTATTTTGAGTAATGTACTTTTTAAAAGTTTCATTTTGATATCTCAGATATAACATCTTAAATATTTAGTTTTCTGGGTATGCGAAAGAGGGTTAAGGTGAGAAGTATAAGAATAGATTTGGATTCTTGATCATCTTTAATCTCAAACTCACTCATGAATCACGTTTGATACGAAGACTAATCTAGTGCATCTCACCATAATATGCAGCCAATGATGAAGATTTCTTCTTATACTTCTCATCTTTATTTTTCTTCTCATCGGAACCCAAGCATATATGGGTAACTGGTATAAACATTATCAGGTTACCATGTTGAGATGCGAGTGACGTGCCATACAACTCATTATTATGGTTGGGTTCACAAGACCAATCTGTTTTCGTGACACTCATGACACTTGAAACTTCACAACAAAATATTGTAAAAGTAAAAAAAATATAAACCTTTACAACAAAAAAACTATAAAGGTTACCTTCACATTCTTTTGCTATGAAAATTTACTATTATTTAAGTGGATTCACAAGTCTTATTAAATACCAATATTTTAATCTATATATATTAATACATACATACATATATATACCTCGTAATAGGTAATGGATAACGAAAAATTGTTTATACATACCCTACCTACTAAAATTTCGGGTAAACTGGTAATGGATAAGTGGATAAATGGATAAGATTTTCTTTAACCGTATCCTTTTCAATCTGGTAGAAACATAACCAGTAACAAGTTTATCCTTACCCTTTGTCAGCACAACTTGATTTGGTTGTAAGAGTTATAGGAACGTAAATGGTTGCATAATAATCCATCTCTCTCTCTCTCTCTCTCTCTCTCTCTCTATATATATATATATATATATATATATATACACACACACATAGGATCATGTGAGACTACTATGTTTTCATGAGACTCGCAATACCACATTTTTACACTTGAAACATTATAGCAAAACAATATGAAGGTAACTCTCACTATGTTTTTGCTGTAAAGGTTCAGATTTTTTTCATCTTCATAATATTTTGTTGTAAAGTTTTAAATATAAAAATATGATCTTAAAACTAAGTTGGTAACCCAACCTTATATATGTTATAACCCACTCCCACATTTATTTATCTCCTCCAAAACCTAGCGTATAATTTCGATCTCCTCCTTCCTGGTCGTCATTGTTCCCTTCTCACCGTCGCAGCCACCTCACACCAACCATGTAGCATCGACCACAATCAGTGGCGGATCCAGAAAATTAATGGGGTGGGAGCATGTTGGATGGGGCTTGGGGGAGGGAAGCATTTGGTCATATGGGACTGGGAGGAAACCATGTAAGACGAGGGTGAAAATATAAAATTTAAGCTAGTCAACAAAAGTTTTTGGTTTTTGACTGGGGCCTTTCCCCCGGTGCTTAAAGGCTGGATCCGCCCCTGACCACAATTCTACTCTACAACCATCGCAACTCCACCATCTTCTTCCCCTTGCCGGCAATCGCAAATCAGATCCCTAAACCACCATATGCCTCTCTGTTTACCTTCCTTTTCCTTTTCGTGTTTCTTCCTCCACCTCGATCTGTGCCCACCAGTGATCTCCTTTCTCCCTTTTGCAAACGCCAACAACACTGAACAGCCCCAAAACCCAAAAAACAAACAAACAAGCCAGTTCTCAAGAACCCATTGACTTCCATGATTAGATTTCAAAAGTTTGATGCGGGAACTGCATAAAGTTTAAGAATCCAGTTGATTTCATTGATTAGATTTAATTTCATCATTTTCGTTGTTGTACCACATGCAGTAACTATTGGCCTCCAGTGATTCCCTAATTAAGATTATGGTATGTGTATAAGAGATATGGGTTGTTATTTAATCCCATATCGAAATTAAGAGGTCTCATACCAAAAAGTCATTACATTATACAATTAGCATGTCAACGACTGAGATTCTTATCTGGCAAGATAGATGACAAGGTAAGTGAGGATGACACTCTTGTTCGGTTAACGCTTACCGGGTAAATTAAATTGTTGAATAAGAAGCCATGAATTAAAATCTTAGTCGGTAAGATAAGTAATAGTCAAATAACATTTTTAGTGTCCCTTTCTTCTTTGGACACTGATGCTCACCTAAATGTATGTGTTTTGTGTATGAACACATGCAACACCTTCTCTTTTCCATACACACTCGTCAGTTATCTTGATTTCTATATACGTATGTTAGAAATATCGCCGGTTGTATGTTTATAGATACAAGATATGGTGCATAAAGAACCACCATCGCATATCTCATTTTGTTGTATTATGGTGAAAAACAAACACATAAAGAACTAGGGTTTGTTTTTCTCTATAATTGTTATATTTTTGGAGTTCTTTGAGGTTTGTTTCAATGGTGTGTATGTTGTGTGCACAACATGAAAGGAGGTCACTATTTTGTGTCATTTTTAATCTGTTGACATATTTAAAGCATATGAATATGGGCTGTATGTGCGTGCAGCATGAAAGGAAGTCATTGATTCATTTTAGTTTTAATCTGTTGACATATGTAAAAACACCTAGATATGGTATGTGTATGTGTGTGAAAGGGAAAGGGGGATCGAAAATGGGACGTGTGTAAAGAGGAAGGGCACCGAATTTGTTATTTGACTATTAAAAAACCCAAATCTAGGAAGAAGGTCAGAGTTATAGAAGGAATGGAGAAGGGGATGAGTAAGTAACGTAACCGACCAATCCACTGGCTGACAGGTCTCTGGTTGGAGAAGAAAAAAGGTGGATGGATATATGTTGTATAATAACGTTTTTGTTTAATTTTCTAATATAAAATTAAATAGATGAAAAAAATAACACAATGTCATGTAGTTAGGAGACCTTTGTTAACACCATTAGGCACAGGAAAGCAAAAGTGAAACAATATCATAACTATAGGGATCAAAAGTGTAATTAGTTTAAAGTGGAGACTAAACTTGACGGTAAGCTCAAATATAAAAGACCAAAAATGTAATTTACTTTATTTTATACTTTGGCCCCCATGATTCATTATATAAGGGGATGTTTGGGATTGCTTATTTGAAAAAACTCAAGTTTTTTCTATAAAAGTCTTTATCAACTTATTATAAGTTAAAATGGTTTAATTTTTTCAAGAACTTTTTATTACCAGTTTGACATCGGTATAAAGTGTTTATTCAAACAGTCAAAAATGATTATTACCGGTGTCACAGCGGAATAAGTCAATAAGTTATTTTTATAAGCAATCCAAAACACCACCTAAAACAAATTAAACTTCTGATACGAATTTTTGTTTGTTTTTCCCCCTGCTAAAGTCTATTAACCTTCCACAACCTCCCCGGCTCTCAGATATGGGCAAAGTTGTGGTTTGTAGAAATTTGTGATGTTGCAATTCATTGCTATTTTCATTCTTATAATAACTTATTATTGTTTTGGTTCTTGTAGTTTACAAATCTTTGTTTTCTCAGTTCCTTGTACTTAAAGGTTGGAGTTAGGTTTAGGGATGAAAATATTAATGAATTACAAACTATAAGAACAAAAATATTAATTCCTAAACCACAAGGATGAAAATCATAACTTTTAACAAATCATATTTTTTATAGTAAATTACGTTTGTAGTCCCCATGGTTTCTTAAAAATTATGGATTTCATCCTTATAATTTTGAAATTGTTGTTTTCATTCTTATAATTTGTAATTTATTTCTATTTTCATCCTTAAGGTTAAACACTACTTTTAAGTATAAAGAACTAAAATAAAATGACTTATAAATGACATGAATGAAAAAAATTATAAACAATAGAAATGAAAATTAAAATTTAAAAATAACAGGGACAAAAATAGAAACTTTCAACAAATTATAGGGACTAAAAACGTAGTTTTCTCTTGTTTTTTAAAAATCGATTCGGACAGAAAAGGCTTCGTTAATCGTTACAGTAACCAGCATCACTCTTCCCTTCCTACTTCGTCTCCCCGCCATTTCTTTCTCCGAAGAAAACCACCAAACGAGAAAATGGAAAATCCAAAACCTAACAGATTTTTTTCATTCGAATCATACCCTAGCTACGATACCCGCTCCAATGAACAACCACATCCCTACAAGAAATCGCATCTTCAGGTGGTGATTCAAAGGAGCGAAGGAATAGGATGAAGATCAATCTGATTTTCACCATCTTCCTCACCATAATTTTGGGGATACAATCACCCAATGGAACGAGTCATTTGGCCACCGCCCAACAGTACCCTGATGCCGACACCCTCAAGAAAAATCCCGCCAAATTAGACGAGGTCACCAAATCCATCTATACTAGATTCAATGATATATCCTTACTTTTTCATGATGATGCCATCAATGATCTTAGCTTCTGCATGAAAAACATGTAAGTTGTAGTATTCTTATCCATTTGTTCTTATAATTTTGCCATTCATCTAAGTTCATTTTCAAGTTATTAATTCATAGACAAGCATTTGTTTAATTCATTTAGGTCTCTCTTAAACTTATTGTTTCTCCTTAAGTTTAAGACTATGGTACTGCTTTACGATTGAAAATGTTGTATGAAAGCTACATAGTAGTTCAGTTATGTTCAGGTTAAGAGTCTTCCTTTCTAGAATGTAACTGCATTATTTAGGTTAGTTCTAAATGCTTCAAGTCTTCATATTTTTTAATATTACTAAAACTAGGTTCAGATATTATGAAAGACTGGGAGGTTGCAGAGTTAGGTGGTTACTACAGGAGTTAGACTCCATCAATGGCTGCACATAGGAAAATAAGATTCCTAGGTGGCAAAGTCTCACCCTAGTTAACTCAGTTCTCCTTTTAAATAGAGTATATAAGATTGTTTTCCGAGTTCTAATCATTGCTACATCAATTCCAGAACTGCTGAGTGGAATGAAGCTTTTGATTTCTCTCATGATACGAAATTCTTGTCAAACTGCATCCAGAAAACCAATGGTAATAGCACTTCTTTCGATTCTTGTAGATACTGTAAAGAAGAAACAAGAAGACTGATAATATGTTACATAGATTAGGTGTACTAGATAATAATTTACTTGAAGACACAATGTGGTTTCTGGGACCATTTATTTTTAGTAGGGGTTCAATGTAGGACCCTTCAATAGGCTGATGCAGGATAGGTTACTTTTAAATGTTTTGTTACAGTACTCCGCAATTGATGATGGGTTCATGAATTTATAGGAAATATTGCACGGCGCTTGTGCACTGCGGCAGATATAAAATTCTACGTTACTGTTGTCTCAGAAACTGAAAAACAAGGATTTAAGACGTCTAGTTATGTGAAAGGTAACACAAACTGTAATCTTACCTCTTGGGTTCCTGGATGCGAGCCGGGTTGGGCTTGTGCTGTTGGGAAAGATGTTGAGGTCAATCTAAAAAACAAAGATGAGATGCCTTTTAGAACTTTCGATTGTCAACCTTGTTGTGAAGGTTTCTTCTGTCCAACTGGTCTCACCTGTATGATACGTAAGTTTGATATGCAACCTTTTTATTTATTTACATGTAATGTGGCAAAGCACCAAATAGTGTTGTACTTTTTTACCTTATGATTCTTTTTCCATATCAAATGTCATTCATCAATCAACTATCTGACTTTTCTTTTCTTCCTTCTGGCTAGTAAATGAATTCCTTGGTTTACCATTAAAATGCAATGCTAGTTTAACTAGTGTGTGTCTAATGCTTGTGGCGAAGGCATGGTCATCATGTGCCCCCAATCTGTTTGGGGTCACACCCACCTGCTAGAAGGCTTAAAATATGGCTGGACCATGTCAAGCTGGTGCTTTGTACAGATCATGTGGACCATTTGGCCAAAGGTGCTAGATATACCACGGTATTCAATATATGTACATACATACATACATACATATATATATATATATATATATATATATATACTAGTTGTGATTGTGATAAGATGTGATCATTTCCAATTTTAAATTTGTGCTTTCCTATATGTCCATTAATTTTTCTTGTACATAACCTGGAGCTTGCAGAAAAACCCTGTGTGATGATAGTCTAGAAAAGCAGCTTTGCAAAACGATCTGCAGCACATTCTTGAAGCTTAAGTGGTTATTAGTTGTTGTATCTTGCGGGACTTTATGTTATGGCCTGATTCACATATATTAAGGTTACAGATTCTGAGATTCACATGCATGGTTTATTTTTGTTAACAAAAACTTGTAACCGCCAGGAAAGCAAACTTCGTGGTCTATGCAACTTGTTTGGCATGAACACGAAGAGAAAAGTTATTACTTCATTAATCTGTACTCTATTTCAGATAGATACCGCTTAGGCAAGTATCTGGAAAAGTGATAGGGACTTCTTAAATGAAAAGGAGGGAGATTCAATAGTTATGTTTTGGTCAAGGCATTTATCGTCATGTACGGGATTGTGGAGCCAAATGTTCTAAATTTGCTCATTTTGTTTTGTCATTGAAGCTTGCCCTGCTGGCTCTTACTGTCCTCTTGCTCGTCTCAACCCAAATACTAATATATGCGATCCGTAAGTTATTCTCCTTCTGCCCTTTGTTCAAAAAATTCCTGTGAAAAATTGATAGTCTGAAAGCTAAGAGTGTTGTGGCGTTATCTAGTGTTCCCTCAATCCCTAAACAAATGAGCTTTTTTGCTCAAACATTGTGATCTTCGATTGTCAGTAGGCATGGTTCATTCAAACTTACTCCATATGATTTTCACAAGAGTTTTAGTTTAATTTCAACATTATACAGAATTAGAAATCATGCTTAATCTTTTGTAATAAAAAAAAAAAAGACATCTCCCATGACAAGTTTAAAAGAACTCCTTACAAACAACAGTTGATTGCAATAACAAAGATAATTATTATGAAAAAGAATTCAATAACTGGAAGTGGAAGATATTTCTCGTTTATTTGGGACAAAAGTTCAAATCATATAGCTTATTTAATTTTGGGATGGAGGGGGCCATGCATTAGATATTCCCCTCTCATGCTATCTTACTTGCATGGGATTGGGGACAGATGAAACCATGCTTTGATAAATCAGATGATGCTGTGTGGTAAAAGCATGGAGTGCAAAAGTACTGACAGGGTGGAGAACATAATTGAACAGGAATGCTTGAACTCAGAGCCTAAGCTATTAGATACCGTCATACCGACTAAACTCAAAGCTTAAGCTGTTAGAAAGAGCGTCAACAGTGATTATATGTTTGAATTGCTCGCCTCAATTCATGGTTTTACTTACATTGGCCTTGATGAGCTAAGAAATATTTATTAAAATGCAGATATCGCTATCAACCACCTCCAGGAGTGACCAACCATAGTTGTGGCGGAGCAGATGTCTGGGCAGCTGTAGTGAATAGTCGTGAGGTATTTTGTCCAGCAGGGTTCTTCTGTCCGTCTTCCATTGAGAAATATTCTTGCGAACCTGGGTATATATCATATTTCATGGTGCTTGTACACTTGTCAATTGTAGGTTGGCAATATTTTTTCTCATATTTAAGCATCATGAGTGTATTTTAACCACTTCTTGCCTCACTATTTACTTTATGGTCATTTATCTTATTTCAGGCATTACTGCAGGCTTGGATCAACAAAGCAAGCAGGTAACATCTACACACCTATGTCATGGTGCATTGTCATGACTACAAAGACAGATAGCATATAACACAAATTGGTTGTTACAGTGCTGTCTCAGACTGGGGAAATAATTCTAAAGTAGATATGCCATTATATATAGAAGCCCAGAAATGATAGACTTTATAGCACACGCATCTACTTTGCTTTGAGAGAATTAACTGAGATGATTGTATTGATAATATTCCATTTACCATGATGATATACTAAATTCTTGACAATATCCTAAGCACAGTGCCTACCAGATGACCTCAGTTATTGTTCCACCAAGTAACATGTTTACTAGTAAATGGTATAGTAAATACTTTTTTTCTATTTCCACTGTCATGAATGTATGGAGTCTATATCTTCTGATTTCTTATCTTCTGTATCAACATATATGGTGGATTTCTTATGCTTGGCACATTTATACGACTCATTTTTATTTGCATTTTAGTGCTTGGCACATTTTTTGTCGCTTTACTCAGGTTAAACTATTATAACGTGGATGAACTTGCAGAGTGTTATCAATTGGCTAAATGTGACAAAGAGGCTGATCACCAGAATATCACTGCATATGGACTAATGATTTGTGTAAGTGCATATCTTACTCGATAAGACATAATAAGAAAGGGCATTAAATTCCATTAGTTATATGTTCCATGCATGCAAGAAAGACTAATACTGTTTGTTCAAAGTTTATTTTCTGAGTAAAGCTCAGTTTTGCCTATTCTAGTCTTTCCTTTTTACGTTGTATCTTTGCCTTCATATGCAGTTATCATATGTTTGCAAATGCGGCATAGATGAAATATGCAATACAGGGATAACCATTGATTTACTGATATCACCAAATTTCTGGATGCTGCTGTTTTGACTTGGCTGAGATCAAACTATGCTTTGAGTGAATTAGGAGGAAGAAGTCCTATTTCTACTATATAGTTTCTGAATTTGAATGCAAACTAATTGTTAATAGATAAATAAATGTGTAAAATATTTGTTTATATTTGGTTTATATTTTCCTTTCTTTGGTTTATATAGGTTTGGTTTGTATAGTTTTAGGTATCCCTTCTTACACTAATACATAAGCATGAGATTAACCCAGTGTAGAAGTGGAGTTTATACCTATGCATTTTTAGAGGCCTCGGAAACCGCCCTAGGGGTGAATTTTATACTGCTCACTTATTGACATACCCTATTAATTTACTGGGCATTATGTACTTACAGTGTTTTCTACGTACATATGTTATAATCTGTAAGCGTCTATACTGATTTCTATTCACATTGCTAATACCAAGGAGCTAGCTTTAATATCTGAAGTCAGGTCCTATATCTGATATAAGTTATTATTATTTGATGTAATGTAGATGCAACAGTTGCTACAATGCTGTTTATGCATTTCTGAGGAGTTGAATGCATTTAAACATCTTAATTATTGTGTAACGTACATTCTAACGTGGTTAATTTGCCAATGCAGGGCGCGTTGACACTTCTGCTTCTCTTTTTTTACAACTGTACGGATCAGGTTATCTCCACTAGAGAAAGAAGGAAAGCAAAATCAAGAGAAGCTGCTGCACTAAATGCGAAGGAGTTAGCACAGGAAAGATGGAAGTCTGCAAAAGAGGGTGCGAAGAAAAAAGCTGTTGGGATACAAAGCTCATTTTCACAAACATTTTCTCGTAAGAAGCTTTCTATATCAGACATGCCCAAGGATCCAGGTCAATCTAGCCTTGTACCTGGTGCCTTTTCATCCAAAGATGAAAGTGAGGATCAGAACAACCTTACATTGATGATGCGTGATATTGAAGAGGATCCTGAAAGTCATGATGGTTTCAATATGGAGATTGGAGATAAAAGCACGAAGAAAGGGTTAAGACCCAAGAAGTTACATACTCGTAGCCAAATTTTTAAGTATGCATATGGTGAGATTGAAAAGGAAAAAGCGCTGCAGCAGCAAAATTCAAATTTGAGATTCTCTGGGGTTATTCCTATGGCTACTGATACAAATATCAGGAGTAGGCCAAGAATTGAGGTTTCTTTTCAAAACCTGACTCTTACTTTGAAGGGAAAAAATAAACATCTCTTAAGGTGTGTGACTGGAAAAATTTCACCCGGGCGTGTATCAGCTGTGATGGGTCCTTCTGGAGCGGGTAAAACAACATTTCTTTCTGCTTTAACCGGAAAAGCAAGGGGATGCACTGTAAATGGATCGATTCTTATAAATGGGAAGAACCAATCTATGAACTCATACAAAAAAATTATTGGCTTTGTTCCTCAAGATGATATAGTGCATGGCGACTTGACTGTGGAGGAGAATCTTTGGTTCAGTGCCAAGTGCAGGTATGTAGTCAGTAGTTGCATTAAGCAGACAGGTGGTCCATTTTCTCTTCATCTTCTGCATCATGGAATACATTTTGATCATGATCTCATGCTTTCCAACACAAAGATGAAATTTTTGGGAGCATATGCTAATATGAGAGCACTTGGGGCTGCTTTGGCAAAGCATGTGGTACAATCTGATAACACACTGATTTTAGCAACTTTCACATGCAATGCCAAACACGTGGGTGGTGCACATAGAATCACTTATGCATTTCTAATAATTTGTTTAGTATTTCTCCCAAAGCTAATTATCTAAGGAGTTATAAAGTTGGACATTAGTAAGCTTTTGTTCACAAGTAATTGGATGTTTTGTTCATAATTCTCATTCTGGCGTGAAAGATGCATCCTGATAAGTTCAAGCCTGGAATAACTGAGAACAGGTCGCAACACTTGCTCCTAACTCAGGAGTTTGTCAAGTTTGTATAAGACCTTTAACAAGTGTTGTTCCTTCAATCGAGATGTGGAATGGCTGATCAGATGCAAATTCAGTTAATGGTAGGCAGTAGGGTCAAATCGGGTTGTTTGGGAGCCTTTAGCGGATTTTCTAGTAAAAGTTCATATGTTGCAACTAGCAAGGTCATTCCTTTGTGATTGTAATGTAATGCGTTCCTCATGTAAGCCTCTTTGCAATTGCAAGGGAGACGCTTCATGTGAAGACTATCCTCTCCAACTCTCCTGAGCCGAGGAGCCTGGTGCAACAGGGCCACCCTATGCTTTCTTGATTAATAAAATTGCACCTTTGCACTGATGATATTCATCAATTTATTTAGTGTATATGCACATGGAAATTTTTCTCGCTTGGGTGATCATTGATCAACTAATTATGATATCATGGGTGTTGGGTTTCATTCATGAAGTGGAAACTTCAAACATCTAGGTATGGATTAGCCATTGTGGTGTAATATCCTAAATATGGCTATTCGAAGTTCATAGCTTGTTGCATGCTAACATATTTCTGGTTCACATATATTGTTATTATTGTAAATTATAACTTATTAGTTAATCATTCATTAGGGGTAGATTAGTCTTTCTTTTTATTTCCTTTGTTTACCGTAGGTTATTCTATTGTGACAAAAGATTCCTCTTTTAGGTGGAAAATACCTATATTAGTAATTGTGATTTTACGAATGAAGAAGTCCTCAATATCTTGTTTATTCGCACCAATATTTTTTCTTTTTGTGTTGGTAAAAAAACATGCTTTGTGGGGGAGAGAGAATATTTCAGCAATCAAGTTAAAGTCAAAGGTATTTAACATACTCATACCTAAGGTTTTTTCACAAAATGGTGACAAAATGTATAACTTGTACAAATCTTTCCATTTTCCAAGTCGATTCAATCCATTCGTCCAGATCGCCATTTACTCGATCACATAAACCTCGTTTTCATGTATTCTTCATGATTAAGTTTTACCAATAAGAAACCCTAGCTTCTGTCTGTAATTTTTCACACACTTCACATTTCCGCTTGTATACTTTTTAGCTCCTTGTTCGATTTCATGTGTTGTGTTGTTTGATCATATTATTATGTTATTTTATGAATATGCAGGCTTCCAGCAAAGCTTTCTCGAGCCGAAAAGGTTCTTGTTGTAGAAAGAGTTATTGAGTCTTTAGGGCTGCATCCTGTGAGGAATTCTTTAGTTGGGACAGTGGAGAAGCGAGGAATATCTGGGGGCCAGAGAAAGCGAGTAAATGTTGGTCTAGAAATGGTTATGGAACCTTCTCTGTTAATCTTGGATGAACCCACTTCCGGTCTGGACAGTTCTTCTTCTCAGTTGCTACTTAGAGCACTTCGCCGTGAAGCTCATGAAGCAGTTAATGTGTGCATGGTGGTACACCAGCCAAGGTAATTCTCTTCAAGTGTGGCTGCCGTTGGTCTAATATTAAATGGGGTAAATCTTTAGCAACCACCAAAGTTACCATCAAACTCACCACAATCCTTTCTGTTCATGGAGAAAACAAAAACAGCAAATTAATGTATATTTTCTCTCCTCATACTAGACTTTTTGTGAAGAAGGAAACATGGTGAGTATGATGGTTACATTGGTGGTTAAACATGGTGAGTACGATGGTTACATTGGTGGCTGACATGTATTTACTCTATTAGATGAGTGACCCAATATTATCCTCATATCTAGTGAACTAATATGTAATATCCTGTTTCAGCTATAGCTTATTCAGGATGTTCGATGACTTGATACTTCTGGCAAAGGGTGGCCTTGTTGCCTATCTTGGTCCGGTGAAAAGAGTTGAAGAATACTTTTCAGGCCTTGGTATCCATGTACCTGAGCGTGTCAATCCTCCAGATCACTATATCGATATATTGGAGGGGATTGTAAAGCCCAACACAAGCTCAGCGGTGAACTACAAAGAGCTTCCTGTCAAATGGATGTGTCATAATGGTTATCCTGTACCACCAGACATGATGGGTTCTGATTATAAGGCAGGATCTTCAGCTGGACTAGATTCTGCTGAAGGCTCAAGCTCAGGCTCGACTGCCAGAGGGGCTGATGATCAATCTTTTGCTGGAGAATTATGGCAGGAGTTCAAGCTCTTTATTCACATGAAGAGTGGCAATTTTCTAAATTGTTTCTCGAGGAAAGACTTATCTAACCGCATAACCCCTGGTGTATGTCGACAGTATAGATACTTTCTGGGGAGGTAATCGTGGATATTTTAACCTTTGATTTTCAACTTGCTAATTGGTGAGAATTGTAAGGGTGTGTGGTCAGTGGTGTTGTTTTCATAACGAAGGTTCTGACTTCTGACCATCCTCACAGGCATATGAAGAACTTTTAGAGTTTGTTTGATTTTCAATATTTTATATATTATTTTACATTTGTTATGATTAAAACCATTCTACAGCATGTATTTGATGTAAAATGGTTCTTTCAGGGTGGCAAAACAGCGAATACGGGAAGCTAGGCTACAAGCTGTGGATTTTCTGCTATTGTTAATAGCTGGAATCTCTCTAGGAACACTTGCTAAAGTGAGTGATGAAAACTTTGGAGCAGTTGGATATACTTACACCATCATTGCATTTTGTAAGTTTGAAACCTCTGTGTTTTAGCTTATGATCGATCCGTTGCAAATGTCTTTGCCTTATGGTATGGTCAGAGGCTCATCTGTGTCAAAACGTTTGAGGGGGAGAATGGAAGCATTTGTGTCGGGTTCGGTGATATTACAATAGTTTTCTACTCGTATCTCAACTAGATGCAAATTGTAACTTAATGACAAGAGTGAACTCATGGTCTCTAGTTTGACAACGAGCCAATCTTAGAGGCTGTTTACCAAACACTTACTGGATAAGCGCTTACTGGCAAGAGAAATTACACTCACTTACCTTATCATGTAACATTATAGGACATTAAAATAGATTGTTGGTAAGCGTCTTAAACCCAATAAGCATGTTTCTTGGTTTTTATGCACGTGTGCATGTTATGCGCATGTGCATACCGAACAAATTGCTTAGAAATTATTTGTATGCACATGTGCATATCATCCAGATGAACGGTTGCCAAGGTGTTCCTCAATTTTCATTTTTTTGCGGTTTACCGCTGAACTTGACCTTTGAGTAATTTCCTGATAAAAGAAGTGTGTTAATTTTATGGTTCAGAAACTGATGCAGGTTTTGTGACAGTGGTCTTTAAACATATTCTCTCTCATTTGGGAAATATTTGTTGCTGACTTTCAGCTTTACTCGGCAAGATTGCGGCTATGAGATCATTTACGTTGGATAAGTTGCAATTCTGGCGAGAACGGTCTTCTGGAATGAGTTGCTTTGCGTACTTTTTTTCAAAGGATACAATTGACCACTTCAACACCGTAATAAAGCCGGCAGTTTACCTCTGCACATTTTATTATTTCAACCCCCCAAGGTCTTCCATCTTGGATAATTACATCATCTTGCTTTGCTTGTTGTACTGTGTATCTGGCTTTGCTTATGCACTAGCCATCTACCTTGAACCTGGTTCTGCCCAACTGGTGAGTGATTTGTAAGATAAATGCAAAACATTTCCTTTTTCAAGCAAAGTTCCAATCTGAATCCACCTCTTTCCCTGTTACCATCATCATAAAATATTGATTGCATTTATTTTGGTCCAATTTTTTTTTTCTATTTTGTCATTATCAAGGGTAGTTTTAGGTGCTGTTTGGTTGATTTTTCATTAAGTCCTGTATGGATAAAGCTGTGTGCGCGGATTAATCTGTCTGCATAAATTGAGAAAATTTTTGTTTGAGAGGGTTTTTTCATAAATGGAATGAGCATGTTCTTTAATTGCGAATGACAAGTTTAGAAAAAAACTTGGCTTTCTACATAAAGCTCCCCCTAGAAGCTTGCTGAATAAGCCACTTTCTATATCATTAAGCCACTATCAAACAATTATGTATAGCTGACCGGATAAGCTGTATCCATTAAGCTCATTAAGCTGCTAACAAAAAAAGCCCTTAGATGTTTTTGACTAATAATCAAACACTTCCGTGAAGCTCTGCATTTATTTTGGGCAAAAGCATGCACTTAGATTGATGTAATCAATTTGGAGTAAATTGAGTATGACCCTTTAGTTACTAGTTTCTTTTGTTTCATAGTGGTCGGTGCTGCTTCCAGTCGTCTTGACTCTTATCGCAAGCCAGAATGAAGACAAGGGTTCGGTTGTAACTCTTCTCAAGAAGGTTTGTTATCCTTCATGGGCTTTGGAGGCATTCTTACTAGCTAATGCCGAAAGGTTTGACATGATTTTACCTTTTCCGTCTCCTTTTATTATTATTATTTCAATAACCATACTACGTCAAATCACTATAACACACTAATACGCACCCAATGTGACACTTGAAAGTTGATATCAACTTTCTTTCAGTGAGATTGACCTTTTGAACCATTTTACTTGGCTTTTCATTGCAAAATGTTGCAACTCTCTTCATTTTGAATTTATATTTCCGCATTTTGTGAAGAATCTCTTTGATTCTTGCAAAGTTCTAGGGCCTGTTTGGTTTGCGGGATTTGGTTAGCAAACTAGAACATCAGTTTCTTAGAGCCCCATTCGAACCCTACAAGTGCTGAATTTTGCAAGTCTAAATACAGATACCGAGCGGTGTGGTTGCTAACAAGATGTGCTGCAATTGCCAAGAGAGGTTATGATCTAAGGGACTGGAAACTTTGCCTGATTCGGCTATTAGTCTCTGGTTTAGTTTTTCGTATTTTAGCTTTGTTCTTGTTAGTGGCCTTCCAGAAGAAGTAAATTCCGTCTGCCCATATAAACATGGAAGCATACAATCAACTCAAGATCTCGAACGCAAGAATCTTGTGAAAATGATCTTCATCTGATCGACTTTATTCAAGTTTTTACGAATGTGATCCGATGGAGGAGAGGTAGATCAACAGGTGACTCTTGTTTCTGTAAATCTTAACGTCGAGTGCCCTGTTTTTACGAAGAAGAATTCATGTTTTGTGATCGTTTCCTCTGTTCGAGCAACAAGATCACATTAGAGGACGAGATTATGTACAAAAGAAATACGAATATACATTGTATATTTCATAGTAAGAAGTATGTATATATATATATATATATATATATAGAGAGAGAGAGAGAGAGAGAGAGAGAAGTCATTTGTGTTATATGTTTGTTTTGTCATTCATTTCCTGCTACCTTTTTTGTTATTGTTCTTGTTGCTTGTTTCCGTACACTTGCACATATAGCTCCCATCGGTTCGTGGCCAAGTTTCAATCTTTAAAGCTCGGCCAATTGACGGAGTCTCTAAAACAAGAACATTAGTTCCTAAGAGTCCCATTCGAACACAACAAAAAGATTATCTGCACCAACTGCCAACTAACGGGTTGTCGAGAAAGAGGTATTGGTAATGGTTGGTATGTATGATATTTTTCATCCGAAGAAATGTTCAAATCTGACATTTTCATTATTTGAGGGACCAAATATGACAACCTATAGCTCTTTTTTTGACAACTTGATAGTTGATGCTTATCATTTTATAGTGTTTGAATGTGATTTTTAGGAACTGTTGTAGTTTTAAGGGCTCTGTTAGTTGGCTAAGCTTGGAAGATGGATCTCCGCCATCTTACAAGCTTAACAAACTGACAGATTCCTTAAAACTAGAAAAAAAAAAGTTTAAATTTTGTTATATCCTATACATTTTAAGCTTTTTTAATTTCTTACAAGCTAAAATTATCAGAAAGAAAGGTAACACTAAAAGGTATGTTACCAAGAACCTTTTCGCATATTTCTTTGCCACATCGTTCTCAACTCCACAATGGTAGACATTTACATGAACCTCATTTTTGTAGGTCTAATCTACTTTTCAACATCAATAATTATTATACAAATGAAAAATATATATTAAAAAATAATATTTGACACAAAAATTAAGGTAAAAACAAATAATTTCTACACAATAATAATGACTTATAAGAGCCTTTTACGTGTAGCTCAGTTGACAAATGAGCAAGACGAATTTACCCAAATACAAAACATTCTGAGTTCAATCTTGGGTCTTTCTTTAGCCTCAATTGTTAAGTGAGTCATAAAAATGTTCCATTATATCAATGTCTTTTAAACACATGTTTTTTATATGTGAATGGTTTCAAACCATTAAAATAGGCTCCACATATAATTTTTTTTATATGATATTTAAATATTACAACCTAAATTTTTATAATTTCTTTAAATAACCCCAACTTCATTTTTTTTTTAATTAGAAAAAGTGTCATACACGTTTGTCTAAAAAATTATTTCAAAAATTAAAATAAGCTGAAATCAAGAAATTGAATTGACTATTTTGATCAATTTCCCGATTTAAACACATTAAACTTTTATTTGTTTAAAATTTATGTTATTTGTGATTACGTTTGTGGGTGGAAGGGAGAAGAAATTGAAAAGTCGAACTTCAGAAGGTTGCTTTCTTGAAAATGTTCTTGGTAAAATTTGCCTTCCGTTACAAGTTACGAGTCTTCGTACAAATTTTCTAAGTAAGAAGGTTTAGAGCCTCTGGTTCTTATGATCAGAGCCTCTGGTTTAGAGTCTGAGTCGATTGTAACTGTTATTTCAATCTTATTTATAAGCAGTAGCAGTTACATATTAGCAGTCTAACCTTATGTAACCGTTGATCTCTCTTATAAATACATAAACAATTGATCTGGTAAATATTAATATACGAATTTGTGTCTTAATTCATGTATGTAATTTTTGTATTATCCTGATACTAATTTCGTGTTAACCTAAGGCAATAATAAGGGTGAAATATTATTTGGAGAATGATTTTCAATACACGATCCAGATGTTGTGCCGTCTAATTTTCTTCTGCATACCAAACGCACCCTAAAAGTCAAAAACCAAACGTATGTTTATCCTCTTCATCTAACTTCAACATGCTTCCATGTTTGATGGTGTTTGTGTAGGATGACAAGGCAATGCGTCGCCCACGATACGGCACCATATTCTACATCGGGTTAAGCAGCTTTCCGTCCTCGCAACAGCATAGGAAGATTAGTCTAAAACTCTTGCAAATGCCTCAACCATCTTTGCCCTTTGTCTAATACCATTGCAGGATTGTAGCATAAACCTAACCTTTTTTTGGGTCCAAGATCACTAACCCTTTTGGCCTTTTCACCACTTGGAATGGTCTGTTTTTTGTGTAGTTAACTTAATCAGGACCTTGACTAGAGTTTCCAAAATGATTGATGTGCTTTATAGCATTGAGGTGGTACAGCTTGGTCAACAAAATGCTTTTTGTTTCTGATGCTAATCCACTAAACATATATTATTAATATGTACATTTTTTGATTATTTTAATGTTTTACATATGATATCAAAAATATACTTGCATTAAAATTTTAATTCAAAATTGTTAAAATTATAAATTTTCTAATTTATCTATTGATTTATGGTTAATATTGGTTCTCACAGTTAACACTTATATATATATATATATATATATATATATAAATAAAAGTGTTAAATCGCTATTCGATTAGATATATTTGAAGATGGCAGTGGGGAATGATTTTAATGTTAACAAAATGGAATGATAATCTGAAATTTGAAATGGGGAACAATGAATCATCATCACCTTGGGGCAAAAGAAGACGTAAAATCGGAAGGAATCTGAATGGTGTCCGCCCACTTTCTGGAATCCAAATAGAGCTTTGAGATCTTACCAGCTACGCGGCTCATATTGGGCCTCTTATTCGGATCATTATCCACGCAATCCAACGCTATTCGGGTCAACTTCTCCGCCACCGCCACCGGAAACGAATCCTTCAGCCGCCTATCCACCCATTGTCTCAGTCTCCCCTCGATCTCCGACTCGTCTTTGCCACCGCCTTCCACCGCATGTCTCGCCGTGTCCACAACCAAAATCTTAATATGATTCCCCTTTTCTTTATCGTACTTGTACCTTACGGGCTCTTCACCTGATAACAACTCCAAAATCACAACGCCGAATGCGTATACGTCGGATTTCTGTGTTGCCAGACCACGGAACTCTGGCCCCATGTATCCTTTAGTTCCTTCGAATCGCATAGCTCGACTGTCCGATCTCGTTAAATTCTTTGGCGGTGAGGATTCCGGCGAAACTACCTCACTGATCTCGTGGCCGATTTTCTCCTCTTTTACAAATTTTGGCTCGATCACCGTCTCTCCGCACAACTCCGCCGTGCCAAAGTGGCAGATCTTGGCGTTGAACGATGGCTCCGTCACAATCACGCTACTGGATTTCACATATTTATGTACTAAATTGATTTTTAAGCCGGCATTATTGTGAATATAATCCAAACCAGAGGCTAAATCCGTCGCGATTTGCATCCGTGACATCCAGGTGGATAACACAGTAAAATCAGGATTTCTCTTATTACGCAAACAATCAGCTAGGTTCCCGCCGGGCATGAAGTCGTAAGCTAGGTAAATGTAATCGCCTGAAATCGACGCTCCAAGTAGCTTAATTATACTCATGTGATGGCTTCTGTATATAACAGATAACTTCTCTCTCAATTCAGAATCCTTTATCGGACGGCGAAACTTCCTTTGAAAGACCACCACCTCCTTGCCGCGTAGAGAACACCGCCACGACGGCGACGAAGAAGAAGAGGAAAACCGTTTTGCTAGAAAATTATTAGTAGCGGAACGAATCTCTGAAACATCGTAGATATGAGTGTCTTCCGGCAACGAATTACGGAGGCTGGAGAGCGATGTTCGGGTGGAAACCGAAGCTTCAGCGGTTGCAATTGAGCTATCGAGCCTATAACTGGAGCCAGTACCAGTACCAGTGCCATCGCCATAGCTGTAGCTAGTGCTTGTAAGATTAGTCGACGAGGGATAGCGACCTGTTTGAGATTTACTGGATGTTCGAGTTGGAGTTGCCATGGTGGTGGTTCTAGAACTCCTCCTCCTTGTGCTACTGGGTTCATCTGCGTTCACCGCCATTTTGGTTCTACACATATGCTGATGAGATCAGAGAGGCAAATTAATGGGTGGGGGAAGAATTGGGAAGTGTTGAAAATTGGGTTTGTGGAGGAGAGAGTAATGGACAGAGACAGGAGTCCCTCTTCCTCCGATAGTCACCATTAAAGCCATGCGACACCCGTGTGGAATCAACATTTCTAATTAATTTAGGTTTTTTTAATAAAAAATTAAAATTTAAGGTAGCATTTGATACACAGACTGAACTGGATAGGACAACACAAGACTAAATTGTCTGTCTTATGTTTGGTACAATTTGGATTCAGAAAAAAAAATAAAGTATTTGATGTGTTTAGTTTGTAGGAATTGAAATAAAATTGATTAAAAGAAAAAAAAGGTATGATTTTGAAACAGCAAATTTTATTCCTATTTGTAGGGTTTAATATTATTAAAAATATACTATTTTAATTTATGATTTTAAATCTAATTTTAAAATAATTAAAATTTTGTATTTGCATTTTATTGAATCTCATTCTAAATTTTGGCTCTCTTTGTCATGTTGTCGACACTGCAACAAGATTACAATTATAACAAAAACAATTTTGTGCGTGCATCTTTTTTATTTTACTTTTATATTTCATTTTTTTCTTAAATCAATTTTTAATACGTAAAACCACATTTATTATTTACAAATTAATTAAAAATAATTAATATATTATAATTTTTTATTTACACTTTTTGTATTATTAATATATACAAATGTATTAAAAATGTAAATACAACATAAGTATAATTTTATTTACAATGAAAAAAAAAAATCAATGTTATAAATATAGGGGTCTAATCAAATGAGAACTAATTAGTTTTTGTTAACCGTGAACTCCTATCTCAATAAGAAATCAATAGAAAATTTATAATTTTGGTAATTTTGAATTAAAATTTTACTGCATGGACATTTTAAGTATTTTATATTCTCTCTCCGTCCACCATCCTTCGATGATACCACAGTGGTATTACAATACATCTATATGTGTTTGAGTATTACATTGAGGTCGTTTATGTCGGAGATGTAACACAGTGGTATCACAATGCATCGTATATGTGTTTGGGTATCACACGGTGTCTTTTGTTTAACATAGTCAATACTTTTAGGCATTACAGTGGTATCACCAGAGACGGTGGATGGGGGACGGAGAGAGAAGAGAGGAAAGAAAATACCTAAAATGTCCTTGCATTAAAACTTTAATTCAAAATTATAAATTTCCTAATTTATCTATTGGTTTGTAGTTCAAATTAGATCTCACGGTTACCATAAACTAGTCGGTTCTCCCTTGAATGTGATCCTATATACATATATAGGGTTGGGTTCACATGTGATACGGTTGTTTTCGTGAGACACGATTTTTACACTTGAAACTTCACAACAAAATATTGTGAATGTAACAAAAACCGAATCTTCACAGCAAAAACACTGTGAAGGTTACCTTTGCTGTAAAGTCTTAAATGTAAAAATCGTGTCTCAATTGTCTCATGAAAACAATTTTGCCTMACATGATACCAAGTTTACACACACACACATATATACATATATATATATATATAGGGTTGGGTTCACGTGAGACCAGCCTGTTTTCGTGAGACCTGTGAGACCACATTTTTACACATAACCTTCACAACAAAAACACTGTGAAAGTTTAAAAAAAGTCGAACCTTCACAGCAAAAACACTGTGAAGGTTTTAAAAAGTCACCTTCACATCATTTTGCTGTGAAGTTTCAAGTGTAAAATATTGGTCTCACGGGTCTCACGAAAACAGGCTGGTCTCACATGATCCCAAGTCTATATATATATATATATATATATATATATATATATATATATATATATATCAACAAAATAATTATAATAAATAATAATATAGATAATTTATAATAGTGATTCGACAAAAAAAATCTCATAATATGTTCTAATAAACAGAAAGTTATAGCAATCAACGCCAAGTCTTCTCCCTAATTAACTATTGTCCCTTTTCTAGTCTTTTCTCTCGATATATTTCAGTTCTTCACCAGTTTTCTACATCTGAAAACAAATTTAATCGTTTAACGTGATTCTCAATATCCTCGATTTGACGCATATATAGGTTTATTTCTTTATTGCCAGTGCATAATTTTTCCAATTGTTTGATGAGGATGATGAAAAACTTATTGGCAAATTACCAAAGATATGTTGCGTGGTTCTTTTTATGCCATAATTTGTTGGTGGGCACCTTGTCCTTGTAGTGTAACCTATTTATTACTCAACATTTAATTTACAGGAAGATGTCTTTATTTCTTGGTTGTTGCAACATAATATTTCTACCAACGGTAATAAATGCATTTTTAGCTCCCATAAATCTTGTATTATTACATATTGTGCTATTGTGTGTGTTCAAACGTTACGTGTATGTTAGTCAACAAATGTTAGTTTCTAATAAATGGGCGTGGATCTGTTTAACGCGGTAAATCTCTACTATAATCTTGCGTGGTCAACTTATGAATGGAAACAATAAGGGAATAGACGTTGAAGCTTCGAGATCATATCTGACAAATACGTAGACTTATTTCTATCATTTTTGTTTATAAAAAAACATTAAATAATTCAAAGGGTTAAATGGTAAATTTTGACATTCATATTATTCATACGTAGTTTTCAAATTATACATATCTTATATTAATAGAAATCGAAGATTTATCGAATCATATCCTTGAGTCGAATGATGCTAAATCATACAATTTATCCTTCGTTAATTAGTAAGAAATGATGTTTCACATCATGGTCATTATGAACAACGTAAATTGTCAAACATATTCACAGATGTAAACTACATGTTCGCTTGTCATTTCAAATCCCTTTTTTTAAGGGTCAGATACTAGCTTAAACTTAAGTATTCGTCCATGACCCTAACGATGTTAAGACTCTACTCATGTGCTATTCACGTGAAGGCATTTTGGTAAAAGGCATTCTAAATGTGGGGTAAGAGAAAAAGCATCACGGTTATTGATACCAGAGGTGTGCAGAAAACCAACCGATCCAATTGGAACCGACTGATTCAATTAGAACCGACCGATCATGATTGGATATCCAATTGTAACTGGATCGAATTGGATTTAAATTTCAACATCCAATTTGGATTGGTCGGTTATTGAATGACCGTCTAAATCTGACCAAAACCGAACCGGACCAATTTAAATTTCAGCTGATTTTATTTAAATAGTTTTGACCTTCAAAATTGAAGCGGCGCAGACATCGTTGACATAACCTGGGTCCTCGTCCAACTTTGTGAATTGTGATGAATCATCATTGACCTTTCTTTATCCACTCCACTTTTCTAAAAAGTCAACTCAAATAAATAAAAAGGCAATTCCTCATATTCTTTAATTCTATTTTGTCAATAATACCTAATTAATAAATTATTAATAATATTACTAACGAGCAAATGAATTTGTAAATGTATTTTAAAAAATAAATTCCAAAAAATTCCACTCGTATTATCATATTACGTTTGAATTTTCTATTTATTTTTTTAAGCACGTTTCTTTAGTTCAACATATTATACAACAATCGAATTCATATTTGTTCAACATGTTATATAATAATCGAATTAAAATCGTTTAATGTAGTTTGAACATTCAAATGACAGCTATCAAAAATCTGACCAAATGTAAAAGTATTTGACTATATTTTATTCGCTTAATCTTGTTTAACGGTTATTTTCTAAAACTAATTAACTTGAAATAAAAATAAAAAAAACAGAATTTAGTTTTTAGTTTTAATAACGAAATCTTAAAATAAATAAAAAACATAAATTAGTTGACCCAAACCACGTTTTAAATTGACGATCAATCAAAGGCCCATTTGTAATTTGGGTCGTCTAACGGGCCAAAACGAATTGCTTGCATACGAATACTTCTCGTGACTGAGCCCAAATCAAAAGGCTCTATGGGCCAACATAAAGGTTGTTTGCTTTTTATTCTATATCATTTAAGGGCTGCTTGACAGTTGCTGAATGATTTGACGTAGAATGGTTAAGTAGTCATAATGCTTAAGAGACTGTACGATATAGTACTGAATGAAATATGGTTGTTTGATAATTGTTCTGAACGATAGAAAATTACTATTTTAACCTTCTATATGATTTATATTAAATAAAATATGATAGTTTGAATTAGTAAATTACTTAGCATATAACTTTGCAAATATAAACTACAAAAATAACATATAAATTTCAATACATCACATTGCAAATAAAAATCAGAACACTTGATATTACTTGATCAAAACACAATATCAATTTGAAAAAAGAAAACATACATTTTTTGTTGATGATCTTGGTAAGAAAAATGGATGTGTACTACCAGAACTACTTTGAGAGTACAACGAACTGAAACAAAGCATGAATAAGAACCCTAAATTAAATTTTCATCAAAAAAAAAAAGTTAAACAGTGAGTGATGGTGTAAAATTTTTGAAACTATTCGACAACAATAACATGTGTAATTGGACATCGAATCTACAAAACTAGAATAAAAATGGCAAGATCGATTGGGGGGATGATATATGGGAGGAACGATGCATGGGAGGAGAAGTTGGAAGGAGACGTGGGAAGGGCAAAAATGGAACAAGTTAGGATATGAATAATTTACTAAAGCCCTAGACGCAAAATCGCTAAGAGTCTCTTGTCACCATTAAGAGGATACAAAAAAATTGCCAAAAACTTTTTGCGTCTGACTGATTAAGAGATCAGCTCTGAATGGAACCATTTATAGCTAAACAAACAGGCCCTAAGACATGTATGGTTAAGTTGTCTGTCTAAATAAGTATATTTGATTGAGTGACAAGAGATCGTTGAATTTGTGGGGGGTAAAGAGAGAGGGTTGGATCATTTTCGGATGCATTTATGACATTAATTTGTTTAATGCGGCTTAATTAGTACAGGGAGAGGTCCTGGCTTAAGCCATAAATTCATTATGGCTTGATGGCTTAACGATTGAGCCATAGATTGTATGGATGAGCGATCAAGCCGTCTAAAGCCGTCTAGACTATTAAATTGTAAGTTTACTACCCCTACTTGGTTTCGGTCTATCATGTTTCAAACGTGATTGAATTTGTGTTGTGAACTATAGGTTAGATTTAACTTGGTGTG